GGCTGTTGCCCCCGCGACCCGGCCCCGGATAAGCGGTTGATGATGGTTGATGATGGATGGATGGATGGATGGATGGATGGATGGATGGATTGAGAATCCACCAAGGGAGAGGGTGCATGAGAGACCAGGGACAAGGGCCTCACGTTGACCAGTACTTTTTACGAAACAACCAGTCTAATCAGTCAAGTGAAACACATCGACGGGGGAAAAAAACAGTTCGCACAGCATCAGCACCCCTGTCATTGAGGAGGATTACATTAGCACAGAAAGGCTGGTGGAGGAACCCGCCTAACTACATAGATCCCTAAGGAAGAGTGGGAGTCAACCACAACCTGACAAAAATCCTGGAGCAACAGGTTCTGCAAAGAAAAAATTAGAAAGGATGGACAACATCATCTACAACTATGGAGGGCAGTGCTCTGGAGTAAACATAAACAGGAGAAGTGATAAAACAATGTCAGCACCAACCAAATCCAGGAGGAAGCAAGAGATCGAATGACTGGTCAGAGAGAGAAGGCAGCTGAGACAGCAGTGGAAGACAGCCTCTGATGCAGTCAGAGACGGACTAAATCTACTCCAGGTGGACGTCTAATGCCGGTTGGCAACCTTATGAAGAGCAAAAAACTTGAGGAAACTTCAAAAGAAGAAGAAACGCACAAGACCACAGTTCTATAAAAAATACCATTCCAAGTTCATCAATACCAAGTTCATCAAAGGCCTCTTCAATAAGAACAAAAGCAGAACCACAGCTACCACAGCTACCTGAACCACCTGACATCCAACCTATTCAACATCCTAAATTCCACCTGGAGAATGACCCTCCAAAACGGCAGAAAATAGCAAATGTGGTATGACGCAGTCGCTAGACCGATGGAGTACTGTATAAACTGTACAAGAATGCACCAGATGTTTTATGCTATCTTTGGAGGCTCATAAAGATAGTGTGGCAGAAGGGAATAATGCCAAAGGCATGGCAAAGGGCTGGAGGTGTTTCCAAGGAGAAGGATGCAGGAGACATTAGCCAATTCCAGCCAATCAACCTTCTAAAATTTGAAGGTTGAAAATAATCTTTAGTGTGATAGCACAGCGGTTGTCAACCTACCTAGACAACACTAAGTACAGTATTTTTCGGACCATAAGGCACACCGGATTATAAGGCACAATATCAATGAAATTATTTACATATTTATATATAAGCAATACATATATCATAACTTTCTCTGACTAGCGAGGACAAATATACTTAATCATCCACTACATAATCCTTTTCAGGGTTTCAGGGAGTTGGATTTCATCCCAGTGGAGAACATGCTAAATCACAGCAGGACCATCAACAGGCCTATAAGTTCTGCAGCTAATACAATATTTACAACATTTTTTAAAAACGCCAAAATTGCCAAAACTGCATTTGATTTTCAAAAGTGACAGGACTGGAAATATTAATTGTCCAAGTTTGTCCTAAAAGGCATAAACAAGTCTACCCTTGAACCCCTTTGTCACCGGTTCTGTTCATTATTTTCATGGACAGAATTTCTAGGCGCAGCCAGGTGTCGGGTGGGGTCCAGTTCGGTAGCCACCGGATTTCATCTCTGCTTTTTGCAGATGATGTGGTGTTGTTGGCTTCTTCGAACCAGGACCTGCAGCATGCACTGGGGCGGTTTGCAGTAGAGTGTAACGCAGCTGGGATGAAAATTAGCACCTCTAAGTCCGAGGCCATGGTTCTCGACCGGAAAAAGGTGGTATGCACCCTTCGGGTCGGGGATGAAGTCCTGCCTCAGGTGGAGGAGTTCAAATATCTGGGGGTCTTGTTCACGAGTGAGGGTAGAATCGAGCGTGAGATTGACAGGCGGATCGGTGCTGCGGCCGCAGTAATGCGGTCGCTGTATCGGTCCGTTGTGGTGAAGAAGGAGCTGAGCCGAAAAGCGAAGCTCTCAATTTACCGGTCAATCTACGTTCCTACCCTCACCTATGGTCATGAGTTGTGGGTCATGACCGAAAGAACGAGATCAAGGATTCAAGCGGCTGAAATGAGCTTTCTCCGCAGGGTGGCAGAGCGCTCCCTTAGAGATAGGGTGAGGAGCTCTGTCACGCGGGAGGAGCTCGAAGTAGAGCCGCTGCTCCTCCACATCGAGAGGAGTCAGCTGAGGTGGCTTGGGCATTTACATCGCATGCCCCCCGGACGCCTCCCTCGGGAGGTGCTCGGGTGCCGTCCCTCTGGGAGGAGACTTAGGGGAAGACCAAGGACACGCTGGAGCGACTACGTCGCTCAGCTGGCCTGGGAACGCCTTGGGGTCCCCCCAGAAGAGCTAGAGGAAGTGTCGAGGGAGAGGGAAGTCTGGGTGTCCCTGCTCAGACTGTTGCCCCCGCGACCCGGCCCCGGATAAGCGGTTGATGATGGTTGATGATGGATGGATGGATGGATGGATGGATGGATGGATGGATGGATGGATGGATGGATGGATGGATGGATGGATGGATGGATGGATGGATGGATGGATGGATGGATGGATGGATGGATGGATGGATGGATGGATGGATGGATGGATGGATTGAAAATCCACCAAGGGAGAGGGTACATGAGAGACCAGGGACAAGGGCCTCACATTGACCAGTACTTTTTACGAAACAACCAGTCTAATCAGTCAAGTGAAACACATCGACGGGGGAAAAAAACAGTTCGCACAGCATCAGCACCCCTGTCATTGAGGAGGATTACATTAGCACAGAAAGGCTGGTGGAGGAACCCGCCTAACTACATAGATCCCTAAGGAAGAGTGGGAGTCAACCACAACCTGACAAAAATCCTGGAGCAACAGGTTCTGCAAAGAAAAAATTAGAAAGGATGGACAACATCATCTACAACTATGGAGGGCAGTGCTCTGGAGTAAACATAAACAGGAGAAGTGATAAAACAATGTCAGCACCAACCAAATCCAGGAGGAAGCAAGAGATCGAATGACTGGTCAGAGAGAGAAGGCAGCTGAGACAGCAGTGGAAGACAGCCTCTGATGCAGTCAGAGACGGACTAAATCTACTCCAGGTGGACGTCTAATGCCGGTTGGCAACCTTATGAAGAGCAAAAAACTTGAGGAAACTTCAAAAGAAGAAGAAACGCACAAGACCACAGTTCTATAAAAAATACCATTCCAAGTTCATCAATACCAAGTTCATCAAAGGCCTCTTCAATAAGAACAAAAGCAGAACCACAGCTACCACAGCTACCTGAACCACCTGACATCCAACCTATTCAACATCCTAAATTCCACCTGGAGAATGACCCTCCAAAACGGCAGAAAATAGCAAATGTGGTATGACGCAGTCGCTAGACCGATGGAGTACTGTATAAACTGTACAAGAATGCACCAGATGTTTTATGCTATCTTTGGAGGCTCATAAAGATAGTGTGGCAGAAGGGAATAATGCCAAAGGCATGGCAAAGGGCTGGAGGTGTTTCCAAGGAGAAGGATGCAGGAGACATTAGCCAATTCCAGCCAATCAACCTTCTAAAATTTGAAGGTTGAAAATAATCTTTAGTGTGATAGCACAGCGGTTGTCAACCTACCTAGACAACACTAAGTACAGTATTTTTCGGACCATAAGGCACACCGGATTATAAGGCACAATATCAATGAAATTATTTACATATTTATATATACGCAATACATATATCATAACTTTCTCTGACTAGCGAGGACAAATATACTTAATCATCCACTACATAATCCTTTTCAGGGTTTCAGGGAGTTGGATT